TGTTTCCTCCACTTTCAGTAAATAGCATGTTTCTGTCAAGTTATGCCCAGACTTTATTTACTACAGACCCGGCTAAACAGAAAGGCGAAACAAAACACACACCACCATTGACACATGACATTTAAACACACATAGATTACTGTCCCTTGTTAATCTTGCAAAGATCCAGCAGTAACAGGATGTCCTTGTGTGTGTATTAATCAGTGTCCTATTTCTCAGGCGATTTAAAGAAAAAGGGGAAAAAAGGCATGTTAGCCACGTCACAACAGCAGGGCGATTTTTCTAAACACTATGATTGCTAGACAGAGCCATAAGACCAGTAGAGAGACTTCCAGCAGACCATTCTGGAAAAAGACCAAATTATGCAGACGTCAGAAGTCTGCTAAACGACTTAAAGAAAGGAAAAGCTGTGTGTGTGTGTGTGTGTGTGTGTGTGTATACAGCAGAGGCAGCCCATATCCCCAGGAGAAACTCCTGCAAGCAACAGGTTTATTCTGCTGCTATTGTTGGTCAAAGTGGCATCACGACTTTGTATTTTTATTGCGGGGATTTCCCCAGACACATCCTCATCCAGTGGACAATACTGTCAGTGAAACCTAGGTCTCATACACACACACACACACACAAACCTTCTGCTGCCGAGGTTTTCCTCTCCAGACAAAACAGACGCTGCTGATGCAAAAATAGGTCATCTGCATAGGCCTGTTCCTGACAGAAACATTTCCCAAAGGTGAAAGAAGACTAGTTTAAAAATGGACACAACAATAAGGCTGAAAAAAAAACACACATCAGACTCAGTTTACACTTGACAAAGTTCAGCTCAGATAGGGATTATCCACGTAAAGGTACCGCTGTAAATGCACCAGAGATCTATTTATATCCAATCACTCAGACTACGTCAGAAGGCTTGAAAAGATGCGACATAAAATTGCCACATAAAATTTTAAGTTACAAGTTTGTATTAAGGCCTTTAAATTCTCGAAGCTTAGCGGACGGATGTGTTCTGGTTGTCAGTTGTGGCTTGGCGAGACGGCTGTACAATTACTTTGTTACTATATTTAAGCCTGCTTTTGAAGTATCCGTACTTCAGCTGAATTTTCCTTTCTCCCAATGCATTTCAAAAGAATATGCTCTGCTCTCTTCTAACTCTCTAACGCTCTGTACTTTCTTCTCACTACATTCCTACATTTCCCATTCAATCATTCATTCATCAGCTCCTTTTCCTGATGGGGGTCATGATGGCAGCAGGGTGAGAAAGTCATTACACACTTCTCTATCCCCAGCCAAACATTCCAGCTTCTTCTGGGAGATCCCGAGACGTTCCTAAGCCAACTGTGAGATATAATCTCTCCAGCAGGTCCTGGGTCTGCCTCGTGGTCTCCGTCTTGTAGGACATGCCTGAAACAGCGCTACTGTGAGCCGACCAGGGGGCATCATTGTAAGGTGCCCAAACCACCTCCCCTGGTTGCTCTTAATTTGGAGGAGCGGGGGCTCTACTCCAAGGTTCTCCCCGATCTCCCAGACTGTCAGAGTAAGCCGAGCAACCCTGCAGAAGAATCTCATTTACAGCACCTGGACACACAACCTTATTCTTCAGTCACTACCCACATCTCATAAGGAACAACATGAATGTAAATGCTTTATTTGCAAAGTGAGCTCCTGCTTAACCACCACAGACTGATACAGTGACTGTAACACTGTTGCCGTTGACCCGATCCATCTGTCAGTCTCGCACTTTCTTTTTCCCTCAACCATTTATAAGATTCCAAGATACTCCTCCACCATGTGCAAGGTCTCTCCCCTGACCTAAAGGGAGCATCCCACTCTTTTCAAGGAGAAAAGCATGGCCTTGGACTTGGAGGTGATTTTCATCCAAGCCACTTCACACTCAAGAGCAGAACATTAGAGTGTGTGTATGAAGTCCACTTGGGATAGCGCCAAAAGAACACCATCACCTGCAAATAATAGGGATGTTACCTCTAGCCAGCCATACTGGACACCTTTCCGACCTTGGCTGCCTCTTAATATCCTTTACAGGAAAACCACAAACAAGAGTAGAGACAAGAATACCCAGTCTTGACCCTTGAGTCCAACGCCCACCTTAAAACGATTTGGAGTTAAGCTAATGCAAACACAACTCTCACAGAGAACGGATCTCATGGAGAACTGACGCAGATACCCATCCTCTAGCAGTACCTCCCACAAGAAACTTCAAGGTACATGACCATATGCCCTCTCCATATCCACGAAACACATGTAGACCTGATTAGCATACTCCTCGCAAAGCTGGTCAGATAAGACCTGGGCCACGGTTCCATAGTCTTGACGGACCCCAGACTGTTGCCCCTGAAATGAGATTTCTCTATAATTGTATATTTGTAAAGTCATAAGGTGACTTCCAAATATCTTCACGGAGTTGATCTACAGCCTTAACAAATCTAAAGCTTCTCAATTAGATAAAAAGTCACAAACATTCTCAGTTCACTTATACCTATTTCTTACTGTTTAGTTCTAGAGTGTTTAGCTTGAACCCATTTCTTGCCATTTAACCAAAAATGTTAACACAAGGTGTTTAAAAACTTATGTTATCCTAAAATCTTGATACGATCCAGATGCGAGATGTGTGAAACAACCATGTGTAACCAGCTCCTCACCCACTGGTATACACAAACACACATGCACATACTCTTGTGCTCAAAACAGCCCAACTTCAGAAGAGCGTTAGCCATCTGGACAATCTTCAACATAGCGAGTCGGTCATGGCTTAATGCTCAAAGAACTGCAGGCCTACCAGTGCAACCTTCACCGATCAATCACAGCTGACAAGCACAACACTGACACACACTGTCTCGCTCTCTGTCTCTCTCTCTAATCAACAGCGCCCCCTTTGGACCAAAGGACAATAGTGCATGAGGAATATCTTACTCTGATGTACAACTTTGATTTAAGCCAGTCTTAGTCGGTTTTTTACGAGTATTACTTGTCATACTGTAAGAGATGGCCTTAATAAAATCCTGGCCAAATTTTATAACAGATTGCGTGACTATACAATGATTTGGATCGCATGAAAACAGAAATATTCTACAAAGTGAGTTTGAGGAAATAAGGATTTTTTTCTGTCCGGTTGGAATGTTCTGTTTATGTTTCATCATTTTCACCACCATATTTGTAGTTTATTGTGAGTTTAGCATAATTCTATGCCGTCCTCGTATTGGTGGCTTTTAGACAAGTGTTGTAGCAGCACTCACAGTCTGAGATTTTCATAAAAAAAAACATCTGACACTACCAGAACTTTGTCATAGACTGTGTTTGATTGCAACGGCACTAAATCAGCCGCCAGTGAACACGTCATATGCGTTCTAAGACTGCTGAACTTGACTCACAACCGATGAATTCTTTTACCATGTGTGATTTTTGTCTGTGATGAGCAAAATCAGGCTGAAAATCCTACAGTGCAAAAGGAGCCAAAGGAGCCAAAGCAGAGTCCTATTCCTATACGTCAAAACCCAAGTATCTTGTAAGCAGGAAGTATTTGGGTGGAGGTCTGTTGGGATTTGTTCCTTCCCAGCTTTACAGATTAGTGTGTGCGTGTCTGTATGTGTGTGTGTGTGTGCTGTCTATGAAGTCAGGAATGTAACAAGCTTCCACCCTTCTAGCCCCCTTAGACAAGAACTCTTACATCTTAAATCGTAAAAAGTTTTTAATACTGAGATCATTCAAACACACAGAATGATACTCTGGTTAAAATGATCAACTCACTGATTTTTCCGCTTGACATAAATGGGATAAAATTTAAATATCTGATTGTCAGACTCATAAACCTCATAAACCAAGCTAGAACACAGGAACATCTGGGCTTTGTGTTTCATATGGGGTTAACATAGTTCAAGGCACACATTTTGCAATCATGTCAGCACAACAATATGACGATGAGATCTGGAGGGCTTTTTAAGTAATACTCAGTATTATAGCTATAGTATCAAGTATTGGGTATTATAATGACAAAACCATATAAACAACAACAGCTAATCACATATTCCATGGATATATCTCCAAGTCAACAGCTGGCATAATTTGATGCTGTATGTTGTATCTGGTCTCATTGTTTTATTGTTTGTTTGTTTTGTTTTTTTGTCTCGGTGGAGCATTTCAATAATAAAAAAAATAATAAATTAAATTAAATGAGGTAAAAACCACTAACAGCTGTTATACCTATATTCATGCCGTTTGTCTACGCTGGCCTGTAAGCACAAAACACATTAACAAATTCAAAACACAACAGCAATTTCAGAAAATTCGACGACAAATCCAAAATAGCAACAGCAAATTCAGAAACACATCAGCACTAACTCAAAACAGATAGCAGGGTTGCCAGGGTCACGGGTTATACACCAAATTGGGCTAGATTTGGACCAAGGTTGTGGGTGGAAAAAGCAAGTCTGCAGGTAGCATTTTTTGGGACTAATTTAAAAATAGGCTGCAGATGATAAGATCTTGTTTCAAAACAAACAGTCAGGATTAGATATAATCAATTTCTGCACACACATTGGCCATACCAAACAGAGGGAAAACATAAGTGTGGACAATGTATCTATGATGTACAAAAATACTTCTGCTTAAAGAAAATTTGTAAAAAATTGGGAGAGGGAAAAGGGGATTATGGCGTGGAAAATGTCCACACCTGGTCATGATAAAAAGGTGCACATCAGAAATGCATGCACAGCACAGCGACCTTGTTTTCCGTGCAAAGACTAAAAAAATGTTTCTCCCTTTTCCAATGTCCCAACTTTTTGGCTAGATTGAGGTCTTTTTGTGCAGTGCTTGCATTCGTTTACTCATAATAATGCCATGCATCTAAAGTAACATCATGTGAATGCCCCTAAAAAATAAACACAAATGATGATATCTGTGCTGTGGCCAATCAGCAACGAGTATGCGATGTTCAGTAAAGACCTATGATTTCCGTTTTTAGTTAATATTCATGTGTTGTAAGATAGGGTCCCTGGAGGACTAGTGGTTAGGCCACAGTGCTCTCACCGCTGTGGCGTGGGTTCAACCCCAGCCACTGGGGTTGCGTGCAACAGTGTGCTCTCAGTGCCGGTCCCAAGCCCAGATAAAATTGGGGAGGGTTGCGTCTGGAAGGGCATCCAGCATAAAAACTGTGCCAAATCAAATACGCAGACCGATGATCCGCTGTGGCGACCCCTAACGGGAGCAGCCGAAAAAGGAACAACAAATCAACATGGCTGTGTAAGACGTGAACCTTATTATGTCCCTAATATGTTGATATTTTAAAAGAGTATGTATGATGTTGCAATTGTTTGTATGACAAATCGTTTTCAAAACCGTGGCCGTCTTATTATCTGATGGTGTTACACATGACATGGAGCATGCTAGAGCCTCACTGAGATGTTATTTATGATCAGTCTCCTCCCTTTGTGTAATGGTTAGTGTCTAAACAGCTACAAAACTAACCTCATCTATGAACACCAAATCAAAAAAATAATAAATGAAATTGCAGAAAAACATGGTACAATCAAAAAATGTATTTAAAATGAAACCTGTTGGATATCCTGATGCCAGGTATTCATGAGAATGAGAGTGAGAGTGCAAATGAGCGTGAGAGAGCGTCTGCGCTGGTCTGATGAAAGAAGCCACCTGCCAGTAGGGTCTCCATCTGCTCGCCTTCCTCTGCCAAGAAGCGCAGGAGGGCCTCGGGCATGCGGAGAGCAGCGGATAAATATATCCCTCCGCTCTCCGCCTGCCCACGGGTGGCCTCCGGCAGCCTGCTACGCTGACTTACGCTAGCCCTAAAGATGCTGCACACCTGAAAGGAGTGCTTGTGATAACAGGGACTAAACAGCATACAGAATGTATAAAGCAGGTATTACCTGGGTGCTCAGGGGAGCCCATGTCAACACCATGTATACGAGGGGACGATTCCAGGAGTGCTAGACTGGGAAATGAACACCTGGGAAAGAAACACACATATGCACACTTGTTCACAAATATATGCAAACATCTATCTATCTATCTATCTATCTATCCATCTCTCTCTCTCTCTCTCTCTCTATATATATATATATATATATATATATATATATATGTGTGTGTGTGTGTGTGTGTGTGTGTGTGTGTGTGTTGACTGCAGGCAAATCTGCATGTGCTCAGGTGCTGGGGTTAAATACGATATCTCTACGGTTTTTGAGGTCAGACAATTTTTAATTCAGAGAAAAGGAGGAACCGTGACCCTATAAACTGTTTGTGTTTTTCCTTCCTCTTTTTATTATTTTCTACTTGTCATTTATGTTCTCACACAGCACAGCAGCGTTGCCACCTCTCAGCTCCAGACTCCCCGGTTCGATCCTGAGATCTGGTTACGGTCTGTGTGGAGTTTCACATGTTCTCCCCGTGAATGCATAGGTTTATCCGATTTCTCTGTCATTGCCAGTACTGCCAGTACATGCCAGTAGTGGATTGGTGACTCTTAATTGCTCCTAGGTGTGAGTGAATGTGTGTGTGTGCTGGTTACATTTTCGCATGATTCTTGTATATTGCACATTGGCACACACAGCTTATAACGTGTTTGGTTCTTCAAGAGTACACAGCATAGGATTCATTATCCAGTCGTGATCAACGTAAATCATCACTATATAGATCAGTAGCAAAGTAATAACTACTAATGGATGATGCACAACAATTTTCATACTAGACATCCATATTTTTCTTCATTAATATTCAATTTCCTTTGCAGCATCATGCACTTTCGGTTTATTTTATGCATTGTCTTTTTAAAAATCTGCATTTTAACCCAGTCAGCAACAGACCTCCTTATCATCTGGACTGGATGCAGTTATATCCAGTGCAAAAGTAGGAAAAGAGATAATCACACAACGATATCTATTGATACAGCTCTTCCTTAGGAGGTCATGCAACATGCACTCATGCAAAGCCACTTCACGTTTGGATTAGCTAGTGGAAGCTAGTATTTTTTAAGAATGTAATAACAATGTTACCCAGTAGTGATGAATTTAAATAATTAGAGATCAGTATCAAAGTAATAGCGACTACTATTGGACAATACAGAGCCATTTTCTCACTAGGCGTCCATATTTATCATCATTTTCAGTTTCATTTTCAACATCATGCACTGTCCTTTAAAAAAAAAAACAATCTGCTATTTTAATCCCCCTTATGATCTGGACCTGGATGCAGTTACACCTAATGCAAATGTATGAAAAGGTATAATCACATAACACGCACACAACTGTTGATGCATCTCTGCAACCCTACTTTGCATTTTCTATCCACCTGATAGAATCTTGAATACTATACTATACTATACTATAGAATACTAGACTGAAGTTTAGAAATAATGAAAAATCATACCTTAGGTGTTGCTTTTGCACCTTTCTACAGCACTGGCAGATCTTTAGAAAAAGGCTCTACACTGATGAGCATGAAGCACATATCCCAAAATATATTCAACCCACCAAAGCATGCAGGGTTTAAATAGATTACAGGTTGGGTTTAAATAGGCTCGTGCACAAACGCACAGCGAGAAACTGGTAATCATGGGGATTTCTCAAACTGCCGCATGCTATATCCGTGCGTCCGCTCGTGCGCCCTGGCTATTTTTAGCGCGCGACGTTTCCCCTGCAGAAACTAAACGGAAGAGATGCTCGGTAAACAGCCAACGCATAGTTTTTTAAAATGTTGTTATTTATTTTAAATAAAAGTAGCAGCATATTTGAACTTGCATATGAGAATACAGAAATAAAACCCTGATTTAACCCTGATCCCATTCGACTAGAAGACTGGCGAAGGAAAAAGGCGCATCTGTTGTAGGATTAAAGCCTAGAAGAACATTGTTGTTGTTGTTGTTGTTGTTGTTTGTAATAGGCTAATTAAGCGAATTTTATTGACAAGCGTGCACACGGGAAAGGGTTAAACTCGGGGTGAAGTCTAGCTGAGATGAAATGACGTTCCTGTCCTGCCCGTCGTTGCTCAATGTTGTTAGCAAAAACGTGTGTTTTCGCACTTACCGGAGTGTTGATGCTGCTGCGCTGCTCTCCGCGTCGCGCGACAACCGAACAGCTCCGTTCAGCCCGTGCGCGCGCGACTGATTAAATAAGCGGAGACGCGGCTGCGCCCTGCACGCGCATGATGCCGATGGCCACGTCCCAAACCGCACACTACCCCACTAAACAGTGCGCCCTAGTATCCCGCGTGTGTGTGTGTGTGTGTGTGTGTGTGTGTGTGAGTGAGAGAGAGAGAGAGAGAGAGAGAGAGAGAGAGTGTGGTAACTATGGTAACCTATAGGGGGCGTATATTTTTGGCACACTGTTTAGTAGGTTAGTATGAGGGTGTTTGAGAGGAAGCCTGTGTTACGTGTTGCTGCTAACGGTGACCATACACGCGCGCGCGCACGCACACACACATATACACACACAGGCGCACGCACGCACGCACACACACACACACACACACACACACACACAAAGGCGCGTGATAAAAATAGCACAGTGACACAATAGAGACAGCAGCAGGTCCACTTCACATCCTCATGAACAGCAGAATCTGAGCAAAAACACCAACACAGAGCTGAATATTTATATTTATATACAACATTTATATTATAATTAAATATAATTTAGTTCTATATCATGTACAGACACACAGTATTATTTTGAATGTAAAAGACTATTATTTTGATAAGGAAACTTTGTTTCCTGCATATTACATGCATACACTTGAGTGCAAAAGTTTGCACACCCTGACTGAAATTATGAAACCATGTGCACGGATGTTTGATGCAAATTAAACATCTACACCTGTTCCTTCATTAAGAATGAATGAATTTGTGGGAGAAGATATTAACAGAGAAAGGAGGAAAATGAACTGAATATGTGCATTTTCAGATCTCCTTCTGTTCATTTGTTTGTTTTCTGCAAATCTCTCTGGCAGTGTTTCTTCTAGTTTTGTCTTTCTCTGTCATGGTTTCTCTAACTACTTTTATATTTTCATCCACTTCTTCATTTTTATTCCCTTCTTCATTTTATTAGATTATTAGCAGTTATTATTAATAGTATAGATTTCACACGAATGTAAAATAACAGACGAACCTATGAGTGGCATTCAGAAAATGCCATTTTTCTTTCTGCTTCTCTACTAGTTTTTTTTTTTTTTTTTAACTGTGGTTTCATCTTCATCATGATCTTCCCTGTCCAAGTGTGCAACTTGTACATACTGAAAAAAAAGGACATCTTAGCAAGTGAATGTATCTTGAATATAGTCAGATTTATCTAGTGTTCCCATTATAAGATCCCAACGAACCAAATATAAGATTATTAAACCTATTCCTAGACATCCTTTACATGTTCTTGTTCTATTGGCAGATCATTTTGCTTCTTTCTAGAAATAAATGCTTAAAATGAGCAAAAATGATCTGCCAAAAGAACAAGACTACTTCAAGCTTGAAGAAACAGGTTTTAGTAATCTTATGTTTGGTTTGTTGTGATCTTGTAATAGGACATACTTGATACATTTGATTATATTCAAGATCTTTTCACTTGCTAAGATGTCATTTTCTTTCAAACTACAATCTGACCAGAACGGGACACTTTCGAAAACATGAACATGGTATGTCCACACCAGATTCACCAAATAGTGCACTAATTTGTAGCCGTGTCTGAAAGCATAGTGACGAATATTTAACATACTTGTGAAATCCAATTTAGGATTAATCTCCAAATGATGTAATTTACTTTGCACAGACTCCCCTTAATGCTCTTAAGTCAAGTCTAGTGGCTTTATTGTCATTTCAACCATATGCAGCTAGTACAGTACACAGTGAAATGAAACAACATTCCTCCAGGACCATGGCGCTACATAAAACAACACAGAACTACAAGAGACTACACATTTTCACATAAAGTGCATGTGCAACATAAAGTGTCTATAGAGAGCTGTCTATAGAGATTAAGGACACGCAAAAAGGTGATAATTCACAGTAATCAGAAGTTTTCTTTGTCTCTCATTCAGCCAACGACTGTCCGCTATACATCACACAAATGGGCTCAGTTTAGCATCCAATCAGTTAAGCTTACCATCCAATCGAGTTTGTCCAAGTAGAAGAAAAACGATCAAAAATCACACTATTTCATCATCTGCTGTCACCATTTCATGCTACACATTGGCGCTATAGCTATCTGTGTGTGTTTGGATACGGATAAGGGAACTGGACTTCAGTGTAGAGGTTGAGGATGAGCGCCCCTGGCCCTACCTCAGGAAAACGTTTCGATATGCTGAAGAAAGCAAAGACTCGTACAGAATGAAGCAACTTCTATGCCTCCCTATATGGCATGAACTCCAACTCTTTTCTAAAAGCATGCTAGGTTTTGATTATTTGCTAATGTTAACTGGCTAGATTTGACTGAGGTAGCCTGTTTTCTTTGCTAATGCCAGATTAGATATAGCATTGATTTCAGCATGTCAAATTCTAGCTAGGTAAATATTGATGATTTGCATGATATTTTAAATTCGGATTAATTCATTAGTAAACTATGGAGCATTAGTCATGCTTATGACGAGCAAACCTACAGAGACTGAATGCTGATTCAGGCAAAAAAACAAATAAACAAACAAAAAACATAGTTGCTTATAACAGGTTTATATAAGTCATAAAAGTTTTCACGTGAAAACATGACAGTAACTTCATTTCGTCAGTTACTTAAAAAAAAAAATTACTTTTTACTTTTTAGTACTATTAGCAACTTTTTTTTTACTTTCATTTGCGACCCTTTTTTTTGAATGCCTCCACCTTTAATGAAGATTCTGACACATTATTTATACTTTCACTTCCAGATCATTTCTCAGTAACCTTTTCTACCCCTGACTTAATGTTTCTGAATGAAAATTAATGTTTCTGAAGCTGGTATTTGCGTGAGAAAGTAATGTAGACTGAGGATTTAAAAAAACACTGTAGTTTACGGCCATAAAGTCTCCAAGGGTTCAAAGTTTGCTTTACCTTGTGATTGATAAAATCATGTGGAAGACTGTGACTCAGCTAGACCTGAATCTTGTGTGTGTGTGTGTGTGTGTGTGTGTGCTATCAGTGTTGCAGTGTCAACATGATGCTTAGTCCTTTGAAATGTTAAATTTGCATTATGCAAAAAAGGCGCTATATACTGACACAAGGAGACACGAGAAGCGAGTGAGTGACAAATTCGGCTCGTGTATGATGGGGAACCTGGTTACTGTGACCTCCTACAGAGCCTCAGATGGAACCTGGAATTATGTTTATCTGCACCCGTGTCTACAGTGTGACCCATTTGGAGCCTTATTCAATCTGGGACAGGTATCTCTATATGCATGCTCTCTGTCTCTCTGCATATGTGTATACACATACATATACATACATATACATATACATACATATACACTCATACAGAGAGAGAGAGAGATAAAGATTTATACAGAACTTTGATCTTCAGCTGTTTTGTGTTAGATCCAAAAAAACTGGGTATGCAGCATGTTCTTTTTAAAATAAAAAATATAAACCTATATATAAAATTATTCGCTTGTTTATTTATTTATTTTTTTAGATTTTCTGATATGTGCTTCATGCATCCTGATCTTTGGTAAACATGAATAATCAGTACATTAGAAATCTAACATTAATGCACCGGCATGGCGTTTGTAGATGCAGCAACAATTCCGTGCTGTGAGGTTAAAAAGGAGGTAAAAGGAACGTTGAACATGGCATTAGAGGAGGAGTTTGTAATTTTTTACGGCCCTCTGCTGCCTGTGAAGTTAATTACACTTGAAAATATTGTCACTGAAAACAGTAAAATGTCTTACGCTTACTCCAAACCAACCGTTGCCTTTTAAGGTAAAGAAGGTGGAGCCAAGCAGCTCTGTTTCAGCTAAGAGAGAGGAGCTGGGTTCTGGTTTCTGGGCCAGAAAATCATCTATTCTATTCTATTCTATTCTATTCTATTCTATTCTATTCTACATTGAACACAAATTATTCTATTTTATTTCAGTAATACAATTCTACTCTACTGTATTCTATTCCATTCTATTCTGTTATGATAAAATGATTCTATTCTATTCTATTCTTCTCTATTCTATGCTACCATGAACACGAATTATTCTATTTTATTCCAATCATTCTATTCTATTCTATTCTATTATAATAAAACTTTATTCTATTACATTCTGTTATGATAAAAATGATTTTATTTTATTGTAATAATTCTATTCTCCTCTATTCCATTCTGATAAAACTATTCTATTCTATCTGACAAAACTCCATTCTATTCTATTCTATTCTGTTATGATAAAAATTATTCTATTCTATTCTCTTCCATTCCAATAAAACTATCCTATTCTATTCTGATAAAACTCCATTCTATTCTATTATGGAAAAAAAAAAAGATTCTATTCTATTCTATTCTATTCAATATTTTCTCATCTATTCCATTCTGGTATTGCTGTTGTTCACCACAGTGGATCATTGGTCATTTGGCACAGTTTTTACACCAGATGCCCTTCCTGAAGCAAACCGTCCCCAATTTTATGTGGGCTTGGGACGGCACTGGGAGTGTACGGTCGTGTGGGGTCGGTTCCCTGGCTGGGAATTGAACCTGGGCCGCAGCGGTAAGAGCACCGAAGCCTAACCACTAGTCCTCCAGGGACCCCATTTATGATAAAACTCTATTCTGTTATTTTATTCTTGTAAAACTGTATTCTATTACATTATGATTAAAAAAACTATTCTGTTAGATTCCATTCTAGTCTATTCTACCCTCCTCTACTTTATTCTTTCTTCGTTACCCTAACCTGTTACGATATGTGTGATGGTGACATCAGTCTACGGCGTCATCTGGCGACTTCTGGTGGATTTTTGAGAATACAGTACCTTAGCTACTTTCCCCTGAAACAGTTAGAAACACTGGATGAACAGAGGTCCTGTAGTGGTGAAGGAACGCTGATGAACCTCCATAGCAACACACGGTTACAGTTAGTAGCTGTATTTTATGACTTAATAAAGTGTTAATAAATGTACAGTGCAAAACAACACCTTTAATTAGATAATGTGGAAATTAGATAATGCTGTATCGTTTATTCGCCTCAGTTTGAGTTGAATGCCTTTGCACTAATCACGGGCGAGTGTGTTGCGTCACGTCAGTCCGACCAATCAGGGCGCGATCTAGTCGTGGGGGCGGGGCATCCTGCACGTAAACCTCGCAATATGGAGACTCCTCGGAGAGTGCAGCGAGCTTGGAAGCTTGTCTGTTTTTAAAATAAAAAACCCCTAAGAGCGCTGTAACACAGCTGGTAAAATGTGCTGGGGTTAACCTGCGCGGCTTCTGCCTCGACGTCTCACACCATGTTTGCAGAGGTGAGTGCGCGGTAATGCTTCCGGCTGACAAGTTTTGTTTTCCGCGGTGTTGTGTGACAGCACTTGGCTAGTTGGATTAGCCTCCATGATAGCTTCCCAGCTAGCTAGCTTAGCTAACAGGTAAACACGGGGCAGTGCACGGAAATAAACACGCCTGTCTTCACACGGATTACAGCGCTAATGCTAAGAGGCTCAGTTTGATTACTCCTCCTTACTAATCACTAGCTAGCTGGATAAATAAACCATTCTTTGGTGACATTTTTGGAGTAAAGTGGAGCTCTCCCTTTCAGGTGAAAACGGTGCAGTTCTTACAGACACTTGTGTATTTAAAGGTGTGTGGAGTGTCAACCACTTAAACCCCAGACATTTTATTAATATTTTAATTTCTGTGCAACATCTAGTACCTGTATTTAGCACGCTATCTATCTGCATCATGTTAGAAAAGCCTGGCAGGAGATTAATGATTAATTAAACAAACACACCCAGTGTTTCCAGTGTAAATTTCTCACCACTTGGTTGCAACAGCACAGCATCCTTCCTAAAACACACACACAGAGGTTAGATCTTTTTTTTTTTTTTTTTCTTTGCATAATGACCACAAATACAAACATGACTCAGTGTCAGAGAGATTGAATTGTCCTCTGGTGAACTGTGAGAAAGTTAGAGATCCTATTTGACAGAAGAAATCTCCTCCGCTCTCTTGCAGTGCTGCAAAGGCATGAGGAAGTGGCCTTAACTTTCTCAACTTTATCCATCTTTCCATTAACACTACTGCATGTGAAGATCATAACCATGTAGTACAGAAACTAATAAATATGAACTGCACCAAGATTATATGAAATAGGAAAGCAGGTCAGTCCATAACAAACCAAATCCTTGCCCCCCCCCAAAATCTTTTTTTCCTCTCAGGTTTTCCCTCCGTGTGAATTCACTCATGTGAAAATCTTCACACTGTTTAATCTCATGAGACTGTTTTAGACTGTAGTTTCAGCAGGCGTTCGAGTATTGCACGAGATATTCCCAATAAAATCTTGAGTGAATTCGAACAGTCCCTGCGATAAGATCCTCTAACGATAGACCTGTGACGAAAGAGAGTGACTGCAGTCTACAGTGTTTACGTCATTACATCATCAGCGCGATCCGGGATTCGTACAGAAAATAAGGTCACGTGAATCCTTTTTCAAAGTGAACTTGAGGGAATAAGAATATTTTTCCGCCCATTAGCGTGTTTCGTTTACGTTTCGGCATTTCCCCCGCCGTATTTGTAGCTCTCCTGCGGGTTTTTGGTGCGTAATCCTACGCCGTCCTCGTATAGGTGGATGTTAGGTGAACGTCGTAGCAGCGCTCACACACTGAGGTTTTAATAAAAACATTTCTGACACTTCCTGAACTTTGTCGTCAGCTGTTTTTGGGCGCGTCTAAGATCACTGATCTCAAGTTGTGACTCAAGAATCCTTGCTTATAATGTGTGATTTTTGTTTGCGATAGTAAAATCGGGTTGTACCGCATAAAACGCGGCTTTAAGGGATTTAATTTCTGTCCATATATATATATCACACACACACGTATATAATGTTTTACATTTCTATAGTCTGCGTTATGATTGCTTGCCAGTGTTTACCATCAGTGGTTAAATTATATTAGAAATGCTAGGTTTAAAAAGGGCTGCGTGATGTGGCGATGTGAAACTAATATCACCATATATGACGACAGCGTACTTCTTTAAGAGTATTGCACGTGTCATCAGTTTCCTGCTATGTTATAACTCGCACTAAGTAATTGCTGACGTGACGTTGCAAATGACGTTTTTCCTCTTATCACTTGTCACTACATGTTTTTTGTAAGAATTTGAATAAAAACAAATGCACACGTCAGATTGGTGAAATAAAGAAAACGAACACATAAAATATCCAAGATTTTATGATTAATAGGTCGAAAACCATTTCAAACCCTATACACTTCTTACAAATTTTAAAATTAGGATTTAAAATGTTTTGAAAATTTAGTGTAAGATTTAAAAATGTCAGAGTATTTATAGCTTAAGTGTGTGTTGGGAGTTTTTACGGAAGTATGGTGTGTGTGTGTGTGTGTGTGTGTGTGTGTGTGTGTGTGGGGTTGTTTTTTGTTTGTTTTTTTTGGTAGTATTGAGCAATTAAGGTTTGCTAACAAACTGCCAGTGAAACAGTATGTTGCATCTAATAAATGAATGATAGTTTTATGTAATGTTTATGAAAATAAATGAATGAATGAAAAACAGGAAAAAGGAAACCTCTGATGAAAATCTCCAAAGCGGATTGTGAAAAATGTATCTCAGAGCTGGGAAATATAACAATACACCATGATCAATATTGCGATATGTCACAATACACTTTGTATTTATTATTTATCTATTTTTATATATATATATATATATATATATATATATATATATATATATATATAAATAAATAAAAAAATTTTTTTTTGAGATATCCTGGATATAACAATATTTATTTCTTTAAATAACAGTGACAGTGTCTGGAAGCAGCTCAGGTAATGTTACATTCTCAAACTGCTTTGAGTATTTAAAAATGGTTAA